TCTGTTTGGCATTTACAATCTGATGGCGTTTGACCGAGGCAGACACTGAAACTACATAGTGAAACTGCCAACAATCTTACCTAATTGCATATTTAAAAATATATAAGAAACATGTGTGATATATTGTTGGGGCCAGTCCTCATTCAGTTCACATACAAAAATGGAGCCAAAAATCCGTTGAACGCTGAACTGACTTAATGGCCATTTCCATTTTCTGCCAAAAAGTGGGCGTGGCTCGAAAGTAGGTCTAACTAGGCGTGCCCCAAAATCGGACGTTACACCTCTCCCAACTGTTATGCAATTTGAAACATGTGGGTCAAACGGTTCTCAGTTGATCATTGACCTAGCCAAATTTTGACGGACGGAACGGACTGCGGACAGGACGACGTAACGAACGGACAACGCCCATGCAACAGCTCATCTTGATGTCAAGGTGAAGCTTTAAAAATAGAACACACGTTGTGAACCTGCTCCATGTCCGAATATGGCGATGCGAATGCTCCTACTGCATGGCTTATGGCCCAGAGAGAGAGAAGGGCAGAGCAACTGGGAAGAGGAGAGATATAAGAGAGAGAGCGAGAAAAGAGAACAAAGACGAGAGAGATGAGAGAGAGAGAGCGAGAGAGACAAAGAGAAAGAGAGAGACAACAAAAAAGAGAGAGACCAAGGAGAGATGAGAGAGAGAGACAAGATCGAGAGAGAGAGAGAGAGAAAGAGAGAGAGAGAGAGAGAGAGAGAGAGAGAGAGAGAGAGAGAGATGCGAGAGACACATACAGCCGATCTGAAACATTTATTTTCGCATAAAAAATTACTCATATATCATCATTATCAAGAGTATGTAATGGGAGATATGCTATATAATGGGAGTTCTCCCATATAATTATACTCTTGCTTTATATATGCCCCCTCCCTCTTCTATCATACCCAATGTGAGCTACAGTGTCATTGACACTTTCATTTGTCATGGTGGTCAAAGAGAATGATTTTGTTCCATATTATGTTATCGTTCATGACGTTTCATTGTTGCGACCAGCTCCACTTTGCAGGTTTTAAGGACATCGATGTAGAGACTTCGACAAAGCCACCCAGAAACCCATTGCCGATTGTCATGCTGGCATTAGATCAGGTAGTTGTCGTCCTTTTTTCTTCACTATTAAGATAAATGTGTGACTGAGTCGTAACCATCATCTAATAGATCATTCCTGCGTCTTTTTTCTACGGATTAAATTTTATTCAACTCGATAGCTGAACTGATAAAAAAGACAAGCATGTGTTTTTTCTTAATTTGTCAGGCGATGATGGATGAACCGCTTTACAACAACATCAACTGGTTCCGAGAATCCAGGAATTCTCACACCACTGGGTGTGTGACATTCTTCTTTTATCTCCTTCCTAATCTTCTTTGTCGTCATCGTCTTCGTCTTTTTCTTCAGGGCTTCTACCAGAAAGATGGTTTCAGCCTTTGTCAATTTTGTTTAAAGTGAATGCATGTGCAAAAGTATATATTGTGTAATTGTACTATTGTTGGTATTGATTGTGTCAGTGTGTGTAATTGTGTCGATGCTGTGTGTATCGTACTGTTGTGTAACTGTATCAATGCTATATGTATCGTGTCAGTGGGTAATCGCTTTAAAGCTGTCATTCAGGGTCAGCGGCCGTACGTATTGTTTGGCATGTCCGGAGAATTCGCTGAACCCGGCGGAGCGTCACTCGCTACACATCCTCGCTCGCTTCTGCTGCAGTCACTGGACCACGCTGGTGAGCTCACTACCCGTCATGTTCCTCTACAAACACAGTCTTAACTACGCTAGTCCACCAGGGGGCTGATTGTCATGCAATATTTTTTAACTGGGGATGAATTTATGCTACAGATGGCCTGACACAGGCATCCGCGGAACGCGCACGATCACGCATCGACGGACTGCTGCACTCACACATCGGAGGACCGCCGCAGTCATCCGACGGACCTCACGCATGGCGGTATCGACGGACGCGCATCAGCCATCGACGGACGCGGCCTCACCATCGACGACGCGCCAGTCCCGCTGCCGACGACACTCACATCCGACGGACGCGCAAACTCACCAATCGAGCCACCGCGCACTCACCATCCGACCGGACGCCACCTCAGCCCATGCGACGGCCACCGTCACCATCGCACGGCAGGCCCAACGCGCCCCCGCCCCCCCCACTCACCAATCGACGGGACGCGCACCCATCCCATCCGCGCCCCACGACCCCCGGGCCCCGCCCCCCAGAGACAGACCCCGCCCCCCCCACACCCGACGCGCACGTCACCATCGACGGACGCGTACTCACCATCGACGGACCGCAACGTCCGCATCGACGGACCGCCGCAATCTGCTCACCATCGCCCGACCGCGTCGACCACAGTCACCGATCGACGGACCGCCGCACTTTGTCACGCATCGACGGGACCGTCACCATCGAACGGACACGCACTCATCACTCGACGGCACGCGCACAGCCTCACCAATCGACGACGCGGTACTCCACCATTCGGACGCGGACGCGGCCGTCACCCATCGGACCGGGCAGCGCACCTCCATCGACAGGACCCACCTGCGGCACCTGCACCCACTCGACGGACCGCGCACGTCACGGCCTCGACGGCACGCCCGCCGTCACCATCGACGGACGCTGCACCGTCACCACTCGACGGACGCCGCACTCACGCATCGACGACACTCACATCCGACCGGACACGCACTCATCATGCGACGGAACGCGCACTCACCATCGACGGACGCGCACTCCTCATCGACGCCCCCGCACAGCGCTACTCACGCGTCGCACGCCCCCGGCCTGCGACGCGCACGGTCACATCGCGGACAGCGCATCACCATGCGCCAGCGGCCGCGCACTCACCATCGGACGGACGCGCGACGATCACCATCGCCGGAACGCGAAGTGCACCGATCGACGTGACCTCGGCATCGACCGGACGCCGTACTCCAACCCCATCGACGCGACGTGCACTGACCATCTGCCGCGACGGCACTCCACCATCGACGACCGCGCCTCAACCATCCGACGGACGCGCACTCCACCCCGATCGCCGGACGCGCCCTCACGCATCCGCCGGACGCGCACTCACATCGACGGACCCGCGCACTTCGACACCATCGACGGACGAGCCCACCCACCGCGTCCGCCCCTAGTCAGCCATCGACGGACCGTACTCACCATCCGACGGACGCGCACCTTCCACGACATGCGGACGGACCGCCCGCAGTCTACGCATCGACAGGACGCCGCAGTCCCCATCGCGACGGAACGCGCAGCCTCCACCATCGACGGAGCGCGCAGTCACCATCCGACGCCCGCGACCCGCACTCACCGCATGCGACAGACGCGCACTCCACCATCCCGACGCACCTCACTCACCATCCCGACGGACGCGCAGTCAGCAATCGACCGGACCACGCACCTCACCATCGCCGGACGCGCACCTCCACTCATCGACGGACACCGCGCACGTCACATCGATCTGACGCGCCTACTCACCAATCGACGCCGAACGCCGCACGTCACCATCGTACCGACCGCCGTCTACCATCCGCGCGGACGCGCACTCACTCCATGACGGCCGCGTACTCACGGAACATCGACGGACCCGCACTCACGCATCGACGACGCGTTACTCCCATCGACGACACGCATCACCATCGACGCGACGCGCAGCACATCGACGGACACCCTCACCGCAATCGACGGACACGCACTCACCATCGAACGGACGGTGGCGCACTCCCATCCGACGAGCCCCTGCCGCATCACCATCGACGGGGCCGCGGCCTCACCATCGACGGCGCGCAGTCACCAAATCGCGCGACGCGCACTCATCATCGACGGCCGCGCACCAGTCACATCGACGGACGCGCAGTCAACCATGCCGAGGACGCGCAGTCACATGCGAGCGACGCGCGCCGGCCGGTTCCACCCGTTACGCAATCGACGACGCCACTCACCATCGACGGACGCGCACAGTCACCTCGACGGACGCGCCTTGCACCATCGACGGACGCGCCAGTCACCATCGACGGATGCGCACTCATCATCGACGCGACGCGCACGTCACCATCGACGACGGGCAGTCACCGATCGACGACGCGCAGCATCAACCATCGACCGGACGCCACTTACGCGATGCGACGGTACGCGCACTCACACATCTGACGGACGCGTACTCACATCGACGGACGCCGATCGCCACTCACCATCGACGACGAGCGCCTAGTCACCATGTGACGGACGCGACGTTACCGATCGACGGACGCGCCAGTCACGCACGGACGGACGCGCAGTCACCATCGACGTGACCGCGCAGTCACGATCGACGGACGCGCTATACCATCGACGGGACGCGCACGGTCACCATCGAGCGGACGCGCCACTCACCATCGACGGGACGCGCAGTCACCATCCGACGGAGCCGCATCATCATCGACGGACGCGCACTCACCATCGACGGACGCGCAGTCACTCATGCGACGGACGCGCAGTCACCGATCGACGGACAGCGGCCTTAGACCACGACGGACGCGCACGTCACGATCGACGGACGGTAACTTGCCATCGACGGACGCGCACGTCACCATCGAACGGACGCGCAGTCACCTGCCAGACATCGACGGACGCGCGCACTTACCATCGACGGACGCGCAGCTCCCAGCGATCGCGACGGCGCGTACTGCACATCCGCACCCGCCGCCGCCCTCCACCAATCGACCGGACGCGCACTTGCACCATCGGGACGCGACGGTCCACCGATCGATCGGACCGCGCACTTCAACCATCGAACGGACGCGCCACTGTCACCATCGACCGGACGCGTACGGGCGCCACCTCACCAATCGATGCGCGGACGCGACTCACACATCGACCGACGCGTAGGCGCTCGCCGGCACGTCACACATCGACGGCGCGACCGCGCTACTACCATCGCGGACGCGCACTCACGTGCATCGACCGGACAGCCACATCACCATCCGACGGCACCGCGCCCTCCACCCCCATCGACGCCGACCGCGCAGTCCACGCATCGTTACGGACGGCGGTTCGGCACTTCGCAGTCGACGGACGCGCACTGCACCATCGCACGGACGCGCACCACCATCGCGCCCCGCCCCGCCGCACCTCACATCCCGACCGGACGCCGCGTCACCCATCGACGGACGCGACACTCACCCACGACGGACACCCCTCCACCATGGACGGACGCGCACCTACCATCTGACAGGACGCGCGATCAACCCATCCGACGGGACACTCCACCCCACTCCGACGCGACGCGCAGCCTCACCCCACTCCCGAACGACGCGCAGTCACCATCCGACGGACGCGCAACTCACCAATCGATACCGGGCAGCCGCGCCGTCACCTCAACCATCCGCACGGAGGCGCGCCACGTCACCATCGACGCCGACACTCACCATCCGACCGGTACGCGCCAGCTCACCCAATCGACGGACACTCCCCCATCGCCACCGGACACGCAGTCACCATCGACCGGACGCGCACTGCAACCCACGACGGGACCGGCCACTCACCCCATCCCGCCGACGCGCCACCCCACCATCGCACCCTCGCGCACGCGCCCTCACCATCCGACGGCGACGCGCACTCAACCCCCCCACTCCGCGCCCGACCGCCCGCCCCCAGCCATCCACCGTCGACGACGCGCACATCACCCATCGCGGAACGCGCAGACTCACCATTCGACCCGGAGCGGCCACTTCACGACATCGACGGAGCGCTCCGGCACTCACGCGTCCCGACGGACCGCGCACTCGTACCCATCGACGGACGCCCGCCCTCACGGGCATCGACGGACGCGCCTCGACTCATCGCACGGACGCGCGACTCCACTCCATGACAGACGGCCGCACTGCCACATCGCCCGGACGCGCCACACGTCACCCATCGACGGACGCACACCATGCGCAGCCGCGTCCCGCTCGGCTCTGCACCACGCCGGATCGACGCCGCACGCGCACTCACGCATCCCGACGCGACGCCGGCACCGTCTCACCACGACGCGACGGCAACGTCAAACCAAAACACAACACCCCCCATCCGACGGACCGCGCACCTCACCATCGAACCGGAACACATCGCCCCCCCGCCGCCGCACCCCTCCACTCACCATGCGACGGACGCGCACCCCTCCACCGATGCGACGGACACAGCCCCGCAACTCAACCATCGACGGACGCCGCACGCTCACCCATCGACGGCGACGCGCACTCCACCGAATCGACGGACGCGCACTCACCATCGACGGAACGCGCAGTCACGATCGACGGACGCGAGCACCGTGCACGGCATCGAACGGACCCGCGCCCCTCACCATCGCGCACGCGACGCCGCGCCCCCTCACGGGATCGACGAGCGCGCACTCAGACATCGACGAGTACGCGCACATCACCATCGACGGACGCGCACATCACTCGTCGAGGACGCGCGACGTCCCATCGACGCGACGCAGCCCTCACCTATCGACGGAACGGCGCCTAGGCTGCCTGCACCACCGCACGGACGCCGCCCCTAAGTCCGACATCGAGCGCGACAGCGCCCTCACCATCCCGACCGGACGCGCACGAACTACACTCATCCCGCACCGCGACGCGCCACCCCTCACCCCATTCGACGCGGACGCGAGCTCCCGTCGACGGACGCGCGCAGCCCTCACCCATCGTAGCGGAAACGCGCAAACTCACGATCGACGA